ATACCCTTAATTATTATTACAATTATTTATAATTAACAACCCAAATAATTGAATTTATTGTTAAAAAATCCCGAGATTTATTTATGCATGAAAATCAATCGTTAAATCAATCGTTAAATCGTTGCAACGAGCGACTAAAAATAGTCCCCGACCATCCGATAATTTAGTAATTAAACCCTTGACAATGTTCCTACGTGATGTTGCATTGAGATAGTCTTATCTAATTATTGCATTGTTTTTAAACAATCGAAGGACTTGGACTGAATATCGGAGGGATTTTTCGAGTGCAATAAATCATTGGTCAAGTGCTATTGATCATATGCAATTGATCACCGAAATAAATCTCACCTCGTGCAATTTTAATTAATCATCTATCGCTATCTCGATTGAATGAGTCAATTGACATGTGTAAACAGTTGTGTAATAATCGGGGGCATTTCCATCGCCCCTCCGATGAGTTCGAGGTACTGTTACTATTTTTAGTTTTCTACTTGCATTCTAACAACGGATAGTACAGAGACCTCAGTTCAAATTAATCGTAATTGAATATCAGTTATTCTACATTCTTTAAATTAAATTCGTTTATCGGTCCCTCTAATTATAAATTATTTAATTATTATAAGTGTTTATTATAAATAATTTGCCCCAGTTTCAAGAGATTCGTATGAAATGGAATTTATTTTCAATATTTTTGTTGCCAATTTTGATTTAATTATTAATTTTAGACATTATTTTATTGTATTGTTAATTGATATGTTTAAATATTTCTAATTGAGGATTTGTGGGTTAATAATCCGAATGGTAATAATGATTTGAGTAGAGGTGCATTTTCTGGGAAATTACTTTTTTAAGTGATTTCTGAAATATCTCCGAAACAAAGAAGGATATCGCGATTCTCATAATAACTTATTCTATAGTTCTTGAATAGTTCTACAAAAAAGATAGGCGGTAAAAAATCTCTATCTCCCTCGGTTTTGAAGATATTCCCAAAAATTCCGATGGATGTGAACCTCTTCATTTTTTTAAATTACCTCTCCACTAGGTTTTCAAAAATATCTCCAAAATCAATGGAGATATCGCAATTTTCATAATAACTAATTCTGTAGTTCTCAAAAAGTTCTCCAAAAAAGATAATCACCAAAAAGTCTCTACCTCCCTCGGTTCCGGAGATATTCCCAAAAATTCCGGTTAAATTTCCATACGCCGTTCCAGAAGACCTGAAAAAAAATTGCAGAAACCGTTTTGTTGTTCCAGATACCGAAGCAGTCGTGTAAATTGCCTGTTGGATCCCGATGAAGCGAGGAAGGCCCCCAAATTGCCATGCATTATCCATCACCACGTCAATCTTCGCCATCATACCTGGGGACCTGATAAAAAAAGAATAACCCACCCTAAATGTACACCCGCCTGATACCCGATGACATGGCAGCCACAGCCAAACACGAGGTGCGTCCAAAGTTTCCAGGTGACCCAGGTGAAGAAGACATAGCAGCAATAGCAAAACAAATAAGCGACCACGCAGAGGCAATCTACCAGACCTGGAAGAGTCGTGGTCTAGCCCCGACAGAAATTCTCACCTGTCACAGCAATGCAACAGCAGCCGACAAATTTGGCAGTGCCCTGACCCCCTCGACCCCCCAAAGAAGTAAAAAATTCACCACCATCAAGGGAATAATGACAGGTGACATCCCAGGTAATTCCCACCACCAGGAGACAGACTCTGGTCTCGAGAAACTCGTGAATAATTTCGTAGTCGAGGACAGGGCACGTCAACGCTCTTATTTGTCCAAGACACTGCCCTCGTCGATTCAATTTGCCCTGGAGAAATTCGAGAGGAACTCCCAGGTGAAGCCCCAGATCCAGGCGAAGCCGAAGATAGTGCCGAAGCCATTGATTTTGTCAGGTAGCTCTGAAATATGTGAGACTATCGAGACAATTCTTCCAGGGGATGCACCAAAGAGACCCCTCAGCGTTTTATTGGCATCACCGAAGCCTCAGGATGAATCTCTGATCACCAATCAGTCACCAGGAATGACCACTTGGCCCCTCAAGAATAAATTATTCAGTGAATCGACATCTGGATGTAAATCCAATAATTCAGCCACTGCTTATCTCGATGAAGTGGCGAGGGAAGAGGAGAGACTCATCAATGCTCTCAAGACTGGTGCTGTCATCGGTGAGGAGTCGTCAGCACCCAGGAAATTGCAGAAGCCAGCGATTATCAAGGAGAAGCCGAAGCTCACGTCTAATGGAATTGTTGCTGAGCAGGCCATTCATTTTTTACAGCAGAAGCAAAAAATATCAGCGAATTATCAGGATAAGGAAGGAAGGGAGGAGGTGGTGGTGACTAGGTGGGGCCCCAGGATCACCTCACCCAGGAGCAGGGCTGATCAGGTGCCTCATCCTGAGCTGACTAGTCAGCAGAAGCAGCACATCAGGGCGGCGGCTGCTGCTGCTGCTGCTAGTGATTCCCAAGGAGTTGTCAATCCTGTTAGACCGTTTTTGACGAGGGGATCGGTTGCTGAGAGGGTTCTTATATTTGAAAAGTGCCCCAGTGAACTTTTGTTGGATAAGAGGGGACCCAGGGCAACTCCTGGGGGGAATAATGTCAGAAATGGAGGCACTGAGGCCGTCAAGACTCAGGTATTTCACTTTTTCTCTTTAATTTCTTCATTTATTCAATTTTTTTTTATTTTCATCCCAGAATTTTTAGGGATTGTATCTCTTATTAAAACAATTTTATTTCTACCGAACGACTATTTGGAATTGTTATTGGACATTGGATATTATGACCTGGAATTATTTAGGATTGAAAATTGAATTTAATTTGCGATTTTCATGTTTGTAATTCAGTAGAAAAGAGGTAGAGAGAAAATCGTAGATTTAATTGGTAGATATCTCGGAATCTAAGAGAGATAGAGAAAAATTGTAGGGAACTTTTTTGTAGGTCTCGTTGGAGTCTAGAAAAAAGGTTCTGGGAAAAAAAACGTTATCTCTCTTAGATTCAGGGATACGCGGCCGAAATCGTTACAATGACTAGTTGAGTCATTGACGTTTTTTGTTGTAGTTTTTTTATGGCAGGAGAACAATTCAATTTTTCAGTTCTTTCATGTCGAGTTATTGAAGATTCTACACGTTTTCTTTTATCTATTTTTCTCTATCACTTTTTCTAGTCCTTTGTTAGCTTTTTCACAAGTCTTCTTTTATTCTCCAAACATTTCTCACAATTTGAGATTAGTCATTACATTTTCAAACCGCCAATATCGCCTGATCGGTAGATGCGATTCGAATGAATCAATTTTCATTTTAAAGTCCGAAAAATCGCCTTCAAAATAAAAAAAAAATCACGAAATTTCACTCAGCGACGGCGGAGTAATTAATAATTAAAAATGTCCATTCCAATCTTTCAAATTCATTTCACTCCCAATGAAAGATTACTTTATTCTCAATATCTCGGGAACAATGCGATGTACAGAAATTTTCGTTGATGACTTTTTTAAAGATAATTCCGAGAGCTACAGAAAAGTTCTCTACGAAAATTCTCCGTCTCCTTTAGATTCGTAAATATTAACCCAAAACCGTTTTAGAGTTCACTACGCGTTTTATCTTTCGTGGCGAGTTGTTAAAAATGTTTATAACAACGCAAATTGCATTGTTTAAAAGACAACTGAAAAATTAGAATTAACCGAGAGAGTAAACGCAGTAAGAATGATTATTACGTCATTGAGAAGCCGTAGAAAATCCGATTCCGCAAGTTCTGCTCCCTCGAGTCTCAAGAATGTCCGAGAGAATTATAATCAAGAGAAAATGGACAGGTTTGAAGTTGCAAGAATGTTGTATTGAATTGCATTAACAAAAGGACAAGAGAACAATGATGACTTGGTGCAACAGGGGAATAATCATCGAAAACTACGGGAAATTAACATATCCCCTTTCACCACTGAAAGAAAACCATTTATTTCTCTTAAAAATCTCACTGCGAATTCAATTTCCTCTTTTCGCTATTCGAATTCAATTCATTTAATCATGTCTTGTTTATAACAATTATATCTCTCTCAATAATCATTTGGTAACTTCAATGGAGATTTAGAATTCAGAAATCAATCCAAATTCCAGGAAGAACATGAAATAATTAACTTTAATTAAAAATCAAGTGAAAATTTGAATTTTTGTTTATTAGAAATTTAAATAAAATTTGAAAGTCTTTTTTAATTGAATTTGTCAATTGATAAAACGATTGAATTGAAAATGGAATGATCTATAAATTGATAAAAATATTACAATCAATACAAACAATAATAAAAAATAATAATCATTGTTTTTTTATAAAGAAAATTGCCAGCAATTTCCATTTTTTAAAATACAATGAACAAATCCAAGAAAAATCACAATTACTTTTAGATTAAAGCTTTAATTAAAAAAAAAAATGGATAAAAACATTAAATTATTATTATTAAATTATTATTAATTATAAATTGAACTATTACAATTTATTTTTCATCAAGTTAATAAAAGTTATAAAAAGTTATCAATGATTTTCTAGAATAAATGAATAAATAAATGAATGAATAGAATAAAATAAATACGTAAATCAATTTTGTAATGAAATTTTCGACATTTTTCAGTCGTACGTCAGAGAGAGGATCCAACAGCAGCAGTCGAAGGTCCTTCCACCTCACACGACCCTCCAACGTCACGTAAAAGCCAACAAAAACGTTCGTATCCCTCGATTCTACTTCCCAGGTGGCAAGCCAACTCCACTCTCCCAGATCGAGGCGACAATAACCAAGATCACGAAGGCATTTGAGAGTTTGCCAGGTCATCGTGCCACGAGAGGACAATTTCACGTTATTTCAAAGGCATGCGATTTGCCAATTTATTGGAAAGTCCCCCTGTTCCTGGCTGCTGGTGGGGACAAGAGTTCCAGTGTCGAGATGATGGGTTTTATCAATTTCTGGAGGGAAGTTTGCAAGACCCATCACGATTCTGCTAGCAAATTCGTCAGGATCATGACCAGGGGCGCGAGGGACTCCATCCTACCGGAGGATCTTGTCTGCCTCATCCAGGATGTCGTTGAAACACATCCAGGACTCACTTTCCTCAAGGAAGCCACGGAATTCCATTCTCGTTACGTTCATACGGTGCGTTGATACCAATTTTTATCTATCTTAATGGATGAATCAACGAAATTAATTAATTAATTAATTTACTCATCTATTTATTATTAATTCGGGGGAATTTGTTGAATATTCTACACGGAAAATTAGTTATTAAGTTTTTTTGAGGGCTTTAGATAAATCAAAAAATCCTACAGTTCAGGAAATTCAGAATAATTTTTCAGAAATAATTGAATTGCGTAAAAAAAATAATTGTTATAATTTAATTGATGGATAATTCAATTTTTTTCGGTTCAATTTATTCACGTGAATTAATACAACTATAAATTTTTGTTAAATAATTCTATCGTGAGTGTTAAAAAAATGGAATTTTCTTCCTAAACACTTACGAGAACAATGAAACACTAAATTTCAATGATGAACGTTCCCCACTTAGCAATAACAAAAGAAACAATGTCCCCAGGTAATCGCTCGAATTTTCTACTGCGTGAATCGTAGCTGGAGTGGAAAAATAAGTGTCTCCGAGGTACGCAGGAGTAATCTCCTGGAGATAATAGCAATTCTTGAGCACGAGGAGGACATAAACCAAGTGACATCGTACTTCAGTTACGAGCACTTCTACGTGATTTACTGTAAATTCTGGGAGCTAGATAGAGATCACGATCTCCTTATCGACAAGATGGACCTGACAAGGCACAACGATCACGCCCTGTCGACGAGGCTAATCGAGAGAATATTCAGTGGTGCTGTAACACGTGGTGGTAAGGGACGTCAGGCCGACGAGAAGATGACGTATACCGAGTTCGTGTGGTTTTTACTTAGCGAGGAGGACAAGAATCATCCAACAGCTGTGGAATACTGGTTCAGGTGTATGGATCTCGATGGTGATGGCTACTTGTCCATGTATGAATTGGAATACTTTTATGAGGAACAGCTGCACAGAATGGAGGCCATTGGAATGGAAACTCTACCTTTTGAGGATTGTCTGTGTCAGATGCTCGATATGATTCATCCTGAGATACCTGGGAAAATATCCCTGAGAGATCTCAAAAGGTGCAAGATGACATCCATTTTCTTTGATACTTTCTTCAATCTTGAGAAATATCTCGATCATGAGCAGAGAGACCCCTTTGCATCCACCAGCAGGGATCAGGATGCTGATGGTCACGAGGTGATTCATTAAAAACTAATAAACTATTTTTTTATTTTTGTCCATTCTGATAATCCAATTAAATCATTAATTACACGCGTGTTATATTTCTGTGCCCGCCAATTATCCGGGAATATCTTGTAAATGAGGGGAGATGGCGAAATTTTTGTGAATATCTTTTCTTTCGGTCACTTCTCGATCTGCAAAAAAGATATCTATGGAAATTTCTGTATCTCTATTTATTTAGGAGATATTTACTGATAATTGAGTCAAGGTGGAATGCGTTTATTTTGAGTGATCGATTTTGTGTGGAAGTATCGATTTTTCGTGGGAGATATCGGGTTGAGGGAGAAGTCGTGGGGGACTTTTTTGTGGGTCATGAATTTTCGGAGAAAAAATGTTATTTCATGTTTTTCTGTAAAATCAATAGTTTTTGGAATTTATCGAGATTTATAATGGATTTTGGATAACATTTTTTGGTTTTTTGGATTAATTTTGGGTTTTTATTGCAGATGTCGGACTGGGATCGATTCGCTGCTGATGAATATGAACTTCTGGTGGCAGAGGAGAGTGGGAATGACCAGAACGATCAAATGTAAGATTTCATTTTTATTTACCATGAAATTCGCGATAGAAATATCAATTTTCCTCGATCTATCTAAATTCTTCATATCACCTTTACCAATTTTATTTCCTTCATTAAATTCATTAAATCATAAATTAATTCATATTAATTGAATTGAATTAAATTCATACCGCCTTGAACAATTCCATTTTATTCAAGATTTTTCCATATTTTTTAATAAAATAATTACGAAATACAAATAAATTCTTTCTAAATTCATTTTGCGTGAAAATTCCACCAGAATTTGAGAGACAAACAAGGCAATTTATAAATAAAATAATGACGTCCGCTGTTACTCGACATCTGACAATAGTAATTTATTCATAATTAAGGGCAATTGAATAAATATTTCAGGCTGTACGAGCCAGCAATGGAGGAAGACGCGTTTTCTGTTGATTTGGATAGTATTACCTCTGACCCAAATGGTCACAGCAAAACACGTGATTGTTATCCGAGGGACTACGACAAGTGCAATGAGTCTAAAGGACAGAGTTACGATAGTGGTGACAGCGATGATTACGCCGAGAGTGACAACTGATAAGTGGAATTGAACAGATCGACAAAATCTGCATGATTTTTTTTTTTGTCTCGAGGGATGAGTGAATGCCACTTTATTTGCAGGTGCAATTATTTTTTCTTTTCTCCAAAAGTGTAAATATCTTTTGCCAGCAGCGAGAGCCACTCGTGTACTGATAGCCATTTTTTTTTTACTTTCGTCAGTTATTTCACTGGATTTTATCAATTTTTTTTTACACTCAAATGTTTGAGAGGCTTTTTTTCTATTATTCTTACTGTTACGAGGATTAGTTGATTTTTCAGGTGAGAGTTGAGTGACATTACGATTCTAGTCTGACGCAGCGTGCGTATATTATAAAGTGAATATATCTTTCGTAATAAATGAATTAATATTAAAGTGAATTGGAAAAGGATATTTGGCTTCTGTTGAGGAGTGGGGGAATTTGATCTTGCTGTTGTAACAAGAGGAGAATATATTTTTGCTAACTATCCGGGGCTCGAGGGAAGTATTTAATCATTTCAATACCGAAGTGGTGAAATAGGATAAGTACACTTTTTTCGAGGCGAGTTTTTAGCCGATATCTCGGAATTGAAGGGGCATAGCGATTTTTTTGTGGAAACATTTTTTATAGAAAATTATGAGAGCTGGAAAAAAGGTTCTTATGAAAATATCGTTATCTTCCTTCAATTCCGAGATATTCGCTGGAAACTCGTCTCGATAAAAAATTCACTTCTCCTAGTTTAACACTTGGCAACAGATTTATTGCAGTAATTCTCCAGTCGAGTATTTTCCAAGGGATTTCCATTGGTTTCCAATAGCAACAATTATATCGCTCTCGAAGATGATCCTGTCAATGACAGCTTTGAGTGAATTCTCTCGGTAATCAGTAAGATTGAAAAAATCTTTTTTAAAAAATTTTTCAAATAAAAATATTCGAAATTAATAACCATCGGAGGAGTCCACCCCAGGTCATACCCATCATAATCATCCTCGAGAGCCACATGATCATGATAATTAAAACCTCATCACAATCGTCTCTAGGTAATTCGACTGGAGAAATACCACAAGCGAAATGCAAATATTTCGCAAAAATATATTTTTCCTCAGCGCTGGTATTTAATATTTCTGATTCTCCAGGTGCATTGAAAAATTTTGCAAGAATCAAAAATTGCGTTCGTATTTCACGTCTCGAAATATCTAAACGAAAATTACTGGTTTTAGGATAAAAAGTCATTAAATATTTTCAACGCTGTGGGAAAACAAAAACTGATAATTAAATAGAATATAGTGCATTATTTTTGAAAAAATGCAAAACGCATAATTATCAGAAACATTTTCGATATTCCAAAGAAAAATCCGTAGAAACGAGACTTTCTCGATAAAAGAAGAAAAGAGAATTTTCTTCAGAACTAAATTTTCTAAAAATCGTGTAACACTAGATTTTTATTATCGTGGGCTATTTTTAAAAACCCATCAATATTTTTGCGCAAATTATAAAGTTTGGGGGGTAAAATATGGGAAATAGTTAGTGTCTCTAACAAACATGACGTTTTCTCCTGAAAATCACGATTTTCAATTCAATTGAACAATCAATAAAATATTGAAATCGATTTATCACGATTTATCACGTATTACCACTCCTCCACAGGCTCGCCTGTCAACATAGAGTAGTTATAAATTTTTTAAAGCATATAATTGCCTTTTATTGTCCTTCCAAAGATGTAATTATAGTAGCCAAGTAAATAAGAAGCTTGTTATATATTTAATTTATCATCTAATTGGACTAAATCAGTTGAAAACTGTCAAACCAGAACACGTGCATTTTTTCGCGACCAATCATCGGCGAGTATCTCACACACGAAGAGAGATATCAAAATTTTTGTCTCCACATTTTTTATGGGCAAAAGTTCGCGCTACAAAAAAGGTCATCACCAAAATATCGATATTCCCCTTCGATACCGAGATATTTGGGAAAAAACTCCCGTAAAAATCTGCACTTGTTTCAGTTTAACGTTTTAATACTGAAATCATCGCAAGGAGAGTAATTATTGAGTAATTATTGATAATTTTATTCAGATCTTTGGTTAGAACTTGTTGCATTTGATTCTTTAATTGAAATTGTTATTCAGGTCGTATCTAGCTGTACATTTGTCCCGTGAATTTTTTGTTGAAATGTCATTGAATCTACCGTAGCGTTAAATACACTAGATTAAATGAGCACTCAATGAGCGAGTAATTCTGAGATTGTCTTATCATTGTTAACACGATGATAAGGCATCGAGGATTTTGTACAGCAGTAATTGCTCGATAATACCGGAGTATTTGTCTATTTTTTGGGATTTTTTTTTAACGAATTCATTGAATATTGTTAAAAAATCGAGGATAATCGATGATTATTAAATTAATTAAATGTAATTGAATTGAGTATTTCTACTTTAAGTGAATGGAAGTAGTGGAATTATTAGTGAATTAATGGTTAATTAAATCCCAAAGATGTTCAAAATCCAGAAGGTGCCAGAGTCAATCGTATCATGACAGCTATCAATCGATCTATTGATATTATTATATTTTCACGATTTATTCGAGCTTAATTAACAAATGTACAGCAACGACTGTTATCTATTCATTTATTATGAAATATTTCAATAGATTTATCAGCTGTTTGAGCACTAGTTGTGCTCCAATATTTAACATTGAGTTTTCATTATTTTGTGGGGGATAAACAAATAATATCAGCCTCCCCTCAATCGATATTATAACAATATATTGAGTATGAATTAGTGTTGAGTATTTAATTACGAAAATACGAAAGATTACCATTTGTATCGATCAGTTATTTATTTGTATATTTTTGAAGTGAGTGAGAACTAGATGAATGAGGATATAAAAATTATGAAAAAAAAATTAAATACACAAAAAATCAGTCTATTATTCATTTCATTCAAATAAATTATCAATTTTACCGCTCTATACATGTGGAGAGTTGACAGTTGAATTTTACATTTAATCTGTGTTCAATTATCTGATTATTGTGGGAGTTAATTAGTGATTAGTGGAATTGATCGTTAATTATTCCTCAGACTAAGTTGAATATACAATAAATAAAACTGAGTTAGGAGGATTGTCCGTTGGTTTGGGCTAATGTCATTTGATTAATTAAATCGACGAGCTTATGAGGTAATTAACTGTTAAAAGTACTTCAGTGGAGTTTAATTGAAAAATTTTACAGCGAATGGATTTTAATTACCCATAAGAAAGTTTCTTCAACAATTAGTAAAACAATTTCAAATAATTACTGATCCGTGCCTAGTATTTAATTATCATCTCTCTCAATTGTTTAATCGATTCCCAGGATTTAATTGAAACAAATCGCAGAGAACCGAATTCAATTATTTATAAAAACGGAATTAGCCTCTAGATTAATTATTGATTAACGCCTAATCAATATCTAATTATCATTTCTCTCACCTTTTTCATTGATTTCCAGGATTTTATTTGAGGGAATCACAGAGACAGAATATTAATTTATGAAAATGCAATTCCTCATTGAAATAATTATTGATTAATGTCTAATGAACGTTTAATTAACATTCTCCGATTTTTTAATCCATTTCTCTGGTGATGAATCGATCGGAGAGAAATGGAGAAGAAAGGAAATCTCATGCGATCTTTTTCTTTTAGATCATTCGAATTTAATTGAATTCTCTCCACTGAAATACGACTGACGAATCAATAGAAATTAATATCACGTCAATATTTGCGACGCATGGTGGAGTGATCCCTCCATGAAAAAAAAGAATCAAATGGAAAAGGTGAATGATCCCGCAAAGGAGTAACGGTACGTCAGCCACTCATCGGAATTCGTTGTGTAATCCACCGTGGGATTCTCCTTCCGAGAGGATGAGCCCCAGTCCTCTGGGGGAGAAGAATCCCGAAGGAAAGACTCAGGACATCACCTTCCAGGTCTTCCTGAGTGTAATTCGCCATTTTCTCGGTTCATTTTCCTTTAATTACTCCTTCGAGTCAATCAGGTCGACAGATCATCGCAGAAATCTCTCATTTTCCCTGAATTTTCCTCTTCTATTCCCAATTTTTTATATTGTCTCTGTTTCGAAATTTTCATTCAAATTTGACGAATTCTTTTTGATAATTACATTATTTCAATTATAAATATTATTACTTTAATTACATTTAGGGGTTTTGTAAAGTTCTGCTTTTTTTAATCATTCGTGGAAAACAGAAGACGTTTTTCTATTTTTTTTTTTGGGAAAACTGAGAGTTTAGTGGAAATTCTAAAATCGTGAGGATTTCTTAATTTATTTTGAATAAATACAAAATTGAAATAAAAATACAATCTTTTTTATTTTAAACTAGGAATTTCGGATTTTATTTCGAGAATTATTCTGAGGGTTTAAGAGTTCTGGAAATCTTGGAAATTCTGGAAAAATCTGTCGACTGAATTTTTCCGATAATTTCAGAGTCTTTTATCTCCAGCTTTAACCCCAGGAAATCCGAAAATTTACTCGGAATCCCAAAACCTTAAGATCTTCTCAATCCATAAATCCTCCTAATCCTAAATTTCATTCTGATAATTATTTTTCAATTTTTCAAAACAAAAGATTTCTAAAAATCGGAAAATCCGAAAGAAAAAACCAGAAAACCGTGGAAAAATCTGTCGACTGAATTTCCCTGAGAATTTCAAAGTTTTCCATCTAGATGAATCCCTTTTTTAAATAAATTTTCTTTCGTTCCTAGAGAAACCGCAAATCCCAAGAATTTCCAATAAAAAAAACCGAAAATTCTCTATTTTATTTATCAAACCATTCGAAATCTTCGAAAATCAAAAAAATGAGGAAAAATCTATCGACTCATATATAATATACAATATTATTATTTATAAATAAATAATATTCCATAATACAATAATAGAATAATAATATAATAAATGATATTATTATATCATTAAATATTATTTATTATAAATAAACTATATATAGTATATAATATAAGATTTCTTAAAATGTTCCCAACATTTCGAAGTTCTCACCCACAAGTTCTTTTAGATTACTGATTACTGGTGGTCTCAATTCGCAGCGAAATAATAAACTAGAGAATGTACGATTTTATATCAGGCATGCCTTCCACCCCTAATATTTTTTTTTAGAATTCATTTAGACGTTGGCATTTTATTTATTTATTTATTTATTATTTTTTTACTTCATTGCATTCTTTCATTTAAATTTTTTCGGGATTTTCGTAACTCGAGGAGTTTTTGGTCTCACCCACAAGTTCTTTTAGATTACTGGTGGTCTCAATTCGCAGCGAAATAATAAACTAGAGAATGTACGATTTTATATCAGGCATGCCTTCCACCCCTAATATTTTTTTTTAGAATTCATTTAGACGTTGGCATTTTATTTATTTATTTATTTATTATTTTTTTACTTCATTGCATTCTTTCATTCAAATTTTTTCGGGATTTTCGTAACTCGAAGAGTTTTTGGTCTCACCCACAAGTTCTTTTAGATTACTGGTGGTCTCAATTCGCAGCGAAATAATAAACTAGAGAATGTACGATTTTATTAGGCACTCATTCCTGACGGGTCATTGCAATTTCCCCAGTGCAACCGTTATGGCTTGTTCAGTTGGGAAGAATTGAGCGTGGGAATACCTCAGGGCCTAGGTGAAGAACCCGACAGCGAGGGCAACCACGACCTCCTCATATTCCATCTTTAATTGCTAATTACGATGCACCTGATTTTCACAGAAAATCACGGGGAAGTGTAACTCATGTCTCAATTGTGTTAATTATAGTTTAGGAATAGTGGGGACATCCTGGTGGGAAGACAGCGAGTTCCTGGGCTTGCAGACACACCCACTCTCCACGAGAACGTAATCCTGACCTGTTAGGGTCACTGGGCCCAGAGGTATCACCAGGAAAAGATACGGTACGTATGTCTGCGTACATTCTCCGTGGACTACATCGCATTCTTTGGATCTGCAATTACATTTTTTTTTTTTCTGTTATTTCAACAATTGTTTACGAATTTATTAAATATTATTATTTATTTATTTCATATTTTATTTCTGTTTCTAGGATTATATCAATTAAATAATGAGATGCACTGGATTTTACGTGAGTAATTACAGTGAATGGAATATCACGAGATTTTTCTTGAAATTTTTTATTTAATTTTTAATTTAATAATTATTCTGTCATAAATTGAATAAAAAAATTTATTGAATGTCAAGAAATCTTTTGTTTATTTCGTGAAGCCAAAAGTTCTGGGATTTTATTATCGAATAATTTAAACAATATATGTATTGTTATTAAAAATTGATGGAATAACAAGAAAATCTGGTGAATTGTTGTTAATCGCGTCGATCTATTTTTATGGTATCGACAAGTGAAATTGATCAATCAATTCAGTTTCTCTTTCCCGTTGTCGTGCCGATAGTCCCAATGACCCGAGGGAATTTCTCATTGATTTCTTTTTATTTCAGTACCGAATTCACCAGGAGAACCTGTTCTGAATGATTTGAGGATTGACTCCAGGATTTCACTGACTTTCCAGTAACTAGGGGACGTCAACGAAATTCCATTGATATTTTTTATTTGCAGAAAATCTAATCATCTCTAGATTCCTGCTAATTACTGATTTCAAACGAAATCAGGGGGTATTGCAGTGGGAATTTATGGAATAAATTAATTGGAGACTTGACAGTGACAGTTTGACAGGGGAAATGTCAGTGTCAAGTTATTTTCTTCAATTGCACTCTGAAAAAGTCAAATCATCTCTTAAAATTTCTTTTAATTACTGATTTAAAATTACATCAGAGACTATTAAATTGAAAATCAATAGAATAAATTAATTGGAGACAATTCTTGGAGACTTGGCAGTGACAATTTGACAGTGAAGCTGTCACTGTCACGTTATTTCCTCCAATTGCACTCCAAAAAGATCAAATCATCTCTTAAAATTCCTTTTAATTCCTAATTCCAAGGAAAATCCTGGACTATTAAATTGTAAATCGATTGGATAAATGAATTACAGACTTGACAGTGACAGTTTGACAGTAAAAATGTCAGCATCACGTAATTTTCTCCGATGGCACTCTGAAAACTGCTTTCTTCGTCCTCAATATCGTTAAGAATCGGTTTTTCAAGGATTTTTGTTAATAGGAAGTTGACTAATGAACTCACTCGCAAACCTCGAAGACCACCTGCTGGAGTAGGTCAGGGAATTTCTGTACAATGGTTACCGGCTGACCGCTAGTCAGGCTGACCCCATACATCGGTGCTGTCGTGTTGTACCGCGTCTTGCACAGCCGACCTGGTGATCCGCATGTTTCCTTTGGTGTAAAACTCCGACCTGAATACAATTTTACATTATTTATTAATTAATCAGGTATCCAGGCATCCCTTCCACCCCTAATATTTTTTTTTAGAATCCATTTAGACGTTGGCATTTTATTTATTTATTTATTTATTATTTTTTTACTTCATTGCATTCTTTCATTTAAATTTTTTCGGGATTTTCGTAACTCGAAGAGTTTTTGGTGCGCACGGAAAATCAGATTATCTCAGAACCCTTTGATCCCAGAGGTTTCCACTATAGAACCTTTTTTATAGAAAATCAAATTTCCTAGAAAAACTGTCCCACAATTTTTCTCTTAAATCCTGTCAATCCCGAGATATCCCCAAAAAACCTGCGACAAAAAATTCATATTCTGTTACATTCCACGTAGAGGAGAGTCAGACAAATCAACTTCAATGAGGAATAACGCGCAAGCTACCGAGTGGAATGAAATGATTTTTATTTGATTTTAAAGCTTAAAAACAGGACTTCAAAATGAATCAAAAATCCTTGAATTTCACTCTGGCAATCCGAAATTATTGGCGATTGAAGACGTTCCATTTGCCAATAAATCTGCGTTTTATCTAGCGAATCGTTTTAATTTTATCTCACCCGGAAATATTCATGTTGTCCCACTAAAAAAATGGAAACCCTGATATCTCCGATAGCCAGATAAATGCCTACACCATGTAAATCGTGATATTGTTATCAGGAATCGAGCGATTGGTATCAACCGATTTGTCGCAGAGATTGCGTAAACTTGCATTGAATAATTGTCACTCAATAGTTAGTCATAAAAAAAAATCACATGTGCCACATTTCTCGTTTTCAAAGTAGTTCATATAAACTACAATCCCGTTATACATATTTGTGGGCTGATGTGCACCAAGAAGACCCGATAACTGTATTGCCCCCGATCGAGCGGCTCACGGGTTTATTATTTGGCAATACCGTTACACCACATAGCTCATGCATTCAGGTGAAAACAGGGACATACGACATAAATTATCGGTTATAATATCCCTCAAAATTACTCCAAAATTACAATATTTTCTTCGCAATTTAACAATTCAATGACGACTTCATTATCCGCGAGAGAAAGGAAAATCGGTTCAACTCTTCGTTGAGTTTTTTGAGAATATCTCCGAATCTATGTGACACAGAGAAATTTTCGTTATGACCTTTTCTGTGGAGCGCAATAAGATCTACGAAAAAGGTCGTATTGATAATTCCGCTACACGGCTTGGATTAAGAGATTTTCGTGAAAAACTTGGGTGTTAACTAAATCGGTTAATTATTCTTCACCACGTCGGTGGCTCCGCTTTTTCGAGAATATCTCGGAATCCGGGGGGGATAGCGAAATTTTTGTCATTGCCTTTTTTGTAGGCCCTAATTAGATCTACAAAAAAGGTTCAATACACTTTTTCTTGTCTGCGATAATTACGGAGATATGTTAAAAAAACTCTTCTTATTTTTCATTTTTGTGGAGTAATTCGCGATTTTCTTTCAGAAATTTCGAAAAATTATGAAAAAATAGGAGAAAATTGCGGGAAAAATTGGCAAGAATTTTCTAGGGATAACTCACCATTTCGGGATGAACTCAGGGTGTATTCACCTCTTGAGGCTTTGTAATTGTGGAGAAGTTCTTGACGCGTGAGTTCGGGGTCCTTTATGCGGTTGTGATGATTATAAACACGACCAGTTCGACTACTTCCTCCCCACAGATTTTTAAAACTCCTGGCGATTGCTGCACTGCAGGAAAAACCGAAAAAAAACGATCTTAATAATTTTCCATACCTCATCTTCAAAACTGAATTTACAATTCCCCACAAATTATTGAATTTCGCCATTTATTTATTTTTTTGGTAAACAATTCTTTTTTTTCAAATCATTATAATTATTAGTCTTAATTATTATTAGGATTTATTGGGTTAATTATAATTGTTTAGGAAAGTTCGAATTGATTGGGGAAGTTCAATGAAATTTATTATAAATATTTAATTGAACATTGAAATTCCTAACAGCTTGATAATTTCAATAAATAATTATCTCAATTTTCATTACTTCTTCTCCCGATTTTCGTAATCACACGTGAATTCCAATTTCTCTAATTAGTTTAAAAAATTATTTTATTTGTTACTTATAACAAGTTCTTACGATTCAGTCATTAAAAAAATTAATGAAAATTACCTCTTGCAATAATTTTCATAATTCCGTAACTTTCTATTTTGATTCAATCTCCGAATTTCTCATTTTTATTTACTAACAATCAGATAAATTTAATGAATTTAATCAATTAAATTTTCCACCTAACTTGCGTCATTGTTATTCACCAATTGTTCAATTAACAATTTCCCAATTATCCGAAATTTCAGACTTCATCAATTCTCATTCTCATATTTTTATTAATAATAATAATTATTATTTAATATTTATTTACTTTTTTCAGTTTCCCATTTTTCATGGTTTATCCATTTGTTATTTAACAATTTTCTAATCAATTATCGACTTCCCAATCGATCGATTTTTTTAAAAATCGAAAAAAATAAAAATTTAAAAATTTTTTAAAAATTAAACTTAAAACTTGGAATTAAAAATTCTTTGATTTTACGATTGCAGAAGGGGAAATAGTAAAAGGTGATATTGAATTTTATTTAATTAATTGTGAAATAGTTAATTTTGTTGTTTACTTACGCTGGATACTGCATGTCATTAGGTCCAATGCAATCAGGGGAATCGGTGAGGGCATCTCCCCACACGTATTTCAGTCCATTTCCACTACCCGCGCATTTCCGCGGCTTATCACTAGCTAATCCACTCGAGCTGATCACTAATACTATCGCGACACTTATCAAGTGCCTTCTCGTCTGCAATTCATTTTTATTACTTTATTCCTCGTCTCCATTGAATTTTTATTAATATTTTACATTGAAATTCCAACTAGATCGGTATCGATCCACTGAACCGGTAACGAATGATGCAAATATCTCCGAATCCAACAGGTCTACCAAAATTTTTTGTACCACATCTTTTGTAGAACGCAATGAGAGCTACAAAAAAGGTAATAATAAAAAAATCGGTAAGTCCTGTAGATCGAGAGATATTCCCGAATTACCGTAATCGTTACCACTTCAATGAAAAATTTCAACCTCTGGGGCGCCAATTGGCCGATCGCCGAGGGGATCGTCCCCCCAGGAAGAGAAAAACCGACTCTCCTTGATGAATCAATACCCCCTGATTTTGTAACACGTGGATAATGCCCGGTTAAGTGAAACGACTAACGGTACGACCCTAGGAGCGTCACGATGACTCCAACGGGTCACCGGTTGTTCTTCAAATGCTAACGGGAATTTCTCGAAATGAAGAATCATTTGCCCCCCAAAATCCCCAGGGTCAAAATCGGATAAATCGAAAAACCGATTATTATCGATCGCCTTGGGTACAATAGGCTTGGGGCTCAGCGGTTCGAATTTATTTCTTTTGAACGATCGACTCGAGACCGATTTCTTTCACTCCCCCTCGCATTGTTGGAATTCCGGTGGGATTCTGCCTTCTGCCCGTCCACCGCAAACTTTTAGAGAAGCTATACCCTCACGATAAATTCAAGTATCGAAAACTCGAATATAATCCCGAAAAATCGGTTACTATTATCTCCCGATTCAATTATCCATTTTTACAATAAAGTCATCATTCCCTGGAATTAATCGACCAATCGAATATTTAAAAAAGACTATCCGATTTGCAAAGAAATTCTATTTATTTATTTGCTTTATTTTATTTTATTTAATCGGTTGCAATTTTCTCGCGATTCAATTACCGATTTTCACGGGAAAATCGGTATTTCCTGGAGTTAATCGTCAAAATTTAGATTTCCCCCATAAAAAATTATCGGTTTTACAATAAAGTTCCATTTATTTATATATTTAACATAAAGTTTTGAAAAATATGAATATGCCGATTTTTCAAATTCAAATTCAATCTAAATCGGACCTTCAAGACTCAAAAAAAAAATCCCACATAAACCCCAGATCTTCTACCGATCAAAAAAAATAAATCGATGAAAAATGAACTAGAGAAATGACCCGAAAAAATACCGATCTTCATTTAAGAGAAATAAATAATTACGGATAATACTTTTTCACTGAATAATAAAAAAAAAACTCACTCACCGCTGCCAGTATCATTTTAAACTGATTGTTGATATAAAATTCCAATAATTGAACGGACTCGACTCAAGAGTAACGAGTGATTGATATTACCGGTGCAATTAGCGATCGAACACATGAAAAAACAAGAAAAATAAAACTCGGGGGACGAGTACAAATATCGGTGGAAAAAATACCGAGATAATCACGAAATGCCGTTCATGTCAGTAGACATCAGGTATCAGGCGTATTTTTGCCCTGGGGTCGAGCACCTCCGTCTGTGCAGGTGGATGCCCAGTGGTTGACTGTAAGTAAGAGGAGTCCTTTGCTTGTTTGTGGCCAGTTGTGACCGACCAAGCGGTCTAAAAACCAGGAGTGAACCAGGTGGAGGAATTAAACGAGGATGGAGGGAGACTTTTTCTTGCTCTCCGCAGATTTGCCGGAAGTCGGTGGAACAAGTCACTTTTCGGTGATCCTTCCCCCTTCCCTCGCCGAAAAATTGGACACTAAATATTCTATTGAACTAGTTCTATTGAATTTTTCTATGGAAGATAGTTTATTCGGGTTTCTATAGATAATTGTTTATAGGAAATATTTTATAGAAAAGCGATAAAAAATATTTGATAGAAAAGTGATAAAAAATATTTTATAGAAAAGCGATAGAAAATATTTTATAGAAAAGCTATAGAAAATATTTTATAGAAAAGCGATTGAAAATATTTTATAGAAAAGCGATAGGAAATATTTTATAGAAAAGAGATAAAAAATATTTTATAGAAAAGCGATAAAAAATATTTTATATACAAGCGATAAAAAAATATTTTACACAAAAGCTATAGAAAATATTTTATAGAAAAGCTATAGAATTCGTGCTATAGATTTAGCAGACACAGGACGAACAGGACCTATAGGATAAATTTGATAATTTTCCTTTTTCCCCTCTTCCAGGGATTTTTGCCGAAAATATTCTATTGATTTTCCTATAGTAAATTAACTATAGAAATTATTCTAGAGAAAAACTACTGAATTTTTCAATAAAAAATATTTTATAGAAAATTTATCGGTCCGGCCTGGGGCATTGGAATTTTAATCTTTCTTTTTTTTAATCATCGAGAAATGTTATTTTTAATACGATGTGCGGGAAAGTAATAAAAAAAAATTCATAATGATGATAATAATAATAATATCTTCTAAGTTGTCAGATAAAATGAATCCTGAAATAAGGAAATGAAATGAAATAAAATGAAATAAAATACTCGTACCAATCAATTCGATTTGTAATTTTTTTCTTATCGTTTATTAAATTTTTTTCTTGAAATATGCAAATTAATTCTGTAGTCACATGTGATTACACGCACGAGTTTCCTTGCATAAAAAAAAAACTCCACAAGTCATTGATTACCTACACGACAAGTTACGAATAACTTGAATAAACTCCCGACATAAACTAATTAAAAAAGAAAAATAAATCGTAAAAACTAGAATGCTCTTCACACTTCGAATCTCACTGTCTCTAACTGGAATATTGAATTAATTTGATGTGTATTAATGATTGAGATACATCGACTTATTGATAATTATGCAGTGGGGATTGCGAACAGGCATTTAGATGTATATAACAGGGGGTAATTAAGGGGTGAGTCTAATCGTCAAATTTAATTGAATTGACGGATACGTCGATCTGCCCTCCTCTGTAGGCACCTCGTTTTTTCTTCGTTTTCTCGTGTCTGAATGATTTTCCCTTGGTGTACTTCAGGTCTAGATTCGCTTTCTCTCCCCACGAGCCACGGGCGCCTCTCTGCACAATAAACAATCAATATTTATTAACATTATCTAATTTCCATCGGTCAATCACGAATACCCAAATTTCAATGATTAATGCAATTAATATTTGAGACAATCTCAAATATTTATTACACGTTGTAAATTTAATACTGATAATCATTCCATCAAATAAATAAAATATAACAACAATCATAATTAATAAGATTGTTATTATTAATTCAAATTCAAATCGCCATCATGAATTTTAAAAAAGTCAATTCAATCCGAGTGAATAATTTTTATATCTGGTTTTTTTTTCGTTTTTTTTTTCATTGTTTTTTTTTTTAATTATTAACGAATAAAAAAATACACGACTTAAAAAAATTGCGATCTTTCAAATTATAAAATTCCACTATAATTTATCATTTCCATTCATAAAATTCGAATATAATTCGATAAAACTTCCCCAGTAAAACATAAATAAAAAAATTCCCGAAAAAACCGGATGCTTACTTCAATCATCAAAAGTTATCTTCTTATTCTGTCCAGACGCTGAATTATTTCCGCCGAAGGACTTCCTGTCCTGTCCCCCGAAGGAGTTCCTCCCGAAGTTCCCCCTGTCATCCCCAAAGGATCGTCTGTCCCCACCGAATCCCCCCCTGCCCCTTCCCCCACGTTCACCCCCTCGTCCGCCAAAACCCCTGCCCCTTCCGCCCCCGC